ATGTTGTGCAGGCTGTTGTTTCTGCTAACAGGGAAGGAGTGAAAGTGAAAGACTGGGTGATAGGAGGAGGATGAGAAAAAGCAGGTTGTGCAGGAGAATGATGAGAGGTGGGAAAACAGGGCAAGAGGAGGAGGAGACTAGGAGAGCAGGATAGAGGAATTGCCCCCGAGGCACTCTTCAATTTTGCCCTCAAGATGGGAGCATATTTCCCCAGTGCTGTGGCCATCATCTATCTCTCTCTCACACGTACACATTACATCTCACACTCTCTCGGCCTCTCACTCCAACATTTCCTCTCTTGTCTTTCTTGCAGCATTTCGGCTCCACTATCCTTCTCTCTCACTCATCTCTGCTCATCATAGGCATGTCAAGCTACAGTCAATTGTTAGCCACCAACACCAACACCTATTCATGTCCAGGGTGTGAGTGGACGAGTATGAGGGCTTGCAGGTGTGGCGTATCTGCACCACCATTTTTGTATATTAACTCTTGACAATTCCCACCTGAAGAGGGTGCAGCTACAACATCGTCATCCAAAATAGATATGAAAACATGGACACCGGCAATACATTTTTCAAAGCCCCAAGCCATTATCTTTTCTTCCTTTCCTCGTATTTCTTTTCACTTATTCCACCTTGGCTTCCCTCTCTGTACGTACAGAGCTGACGAGCTGCAGCCGCCCGGCCCGGCGTGTATTTTACGGGTCCTCTTCCACGGGTCACCCTTGAAATGTTTCATCTTTTCCATCGTCTTTGATTCTTTCTGGATCATAGGTTAGCTACGGCAGTCACCCGACTTGAGTGTGTATGGTGTACGTGTGCGTGTGTGTGTGTGTGTGTGTGTGTGTGTAAGAGGAGGCAGTGGAAAAATGAAAATAGATCATTCATGGCTAAAAGCTGGGAAGAGCAAATCCACCCTCCTGCCAGTTTCCCAGCATGCATGTCTCTCTGGCTGGCGAAGAAGCAAGTGCAGGCCAACACACAGCTGAGCCAATCCCCTATTATTTCCATTCCCATTTGTATACGTTTCACTATTGTCTGCCCCGCTCCCCATCACGGGTGTGCACAGCTCCGGTGGGTAATAGCATCTTTGAAGTCTACTGTACTGGCACATATGGACAGATGCCAGAATAATGAACACTTTCCCATTGTTTGACTACTATTCTATAAGGGCTCTGTGCAGTTCCACTTCTCACATTGTCAAATGAGTCGACATATCTGGCCCTGGCCACGCTGTAGCTTCGTCCATTGTGTCTGCGGTAAAACAAAGACGGTGTTCAGGCACACAATACCCACTGCCTTGCAGCATAAGTCCGTTTCAGTAAAAGCAAAGGCTGTGGCTGCCTTGTCCAAATGATTGTCTGCTATTGTCTCCCACTCTGGTAGCAAAATTAAACCATATTTAAAGTAATAATTCATGACATTGTATATATGTTAAAGGAAAGGGTTCTTTATTGTAGGATTATTTCCTGGCTTGGTGCAGCAATTTCTTGGAGTCTCTGTTTGTTACTATGGTGACAACAAGACTTTAGGAAGTTAGCACACAAACCCTCATAAGACTGCAACATGTACTTTTTAGACATTCGTTTTTAAATTTATTGTCAGTGGATTTTGTTACCTTACAGGTCAGGAGCTGTTTCCTACTGTTTCCAGTCTTTAAGCTAAGCTAAGCTACGCTAACCGGCTGCTGGTAGTAGCTTTATCTGCTATGCAGACATGAGAGTGGTCTCAATATTACAATCTTACTCTTGTAGGTGTATTTCCCAAAAAAATAATTGTGCTTTGTCTAATATTTATGACACGAATTATCAGAGATTATATTGGATGTTTATTCTCTGACATCTTTTGCCAGCAGCTGGTTCATTCATGCTTCGCAGTCTTGTTCACAGCTGTGTGGCAATCAGCTCACTATTCATGTCAAATCTCACGAAGGTGTTCCGTCCACCAAACCTCCTCCAGACAGACGAGAACATTACTTTAAGTGAGGACAAATACATCTAAATACATTCATCATTTCTGATGTTTCACATCAGTGAGATACTGTAAATTCAACAGCTGAAACATCCTCTGACCCACAACTCAGAGATGTCAGAGAGCGGGCAGACTCAGCTGTTAGCAAAGTGGGTCAGAGCAGTTGGCATGATCGCATGAATATTTGAAATGAAGCAGCTCCAGACTGAAGCCTCTGTAACAATCACGTTGATGCCAAGCAGTGTTAAACAATGACAGCATGTTGTACAGCTCCAACTCACTACTGGGCAGCTGCGGAATATGTCGGCCAACACAGAGGAATGAAAATATAGTGAGAAATAAAAAAGATGTGGAGGGCAAAAAAGGGAAGGAAGTTGGGTAATATTAAACAGTGGCGATGCTTTAAGATCTGATTTGAAAAGACGCCTGAAAACGTACACAAGAACCCCCTAGTATTTGGTGTATAAAATGTGTGTACATATTACTGTAATACCTCAATTATCCAACAAGAAACGAAGAAGAGAGAACACCGACGGATGACAGATAGATCAGCAGAGGCCAAGAGATGAAGAATGGAAACAAACTTTGTAATTAACTCAACGCAGAGAAGTGCTGACAGACAGAGGACTGACAGGTTGAAAAAAAAAGAAAGCAAAAAAGAAAAGAGGGGAGCGTAGGGAGGGAGAGACATGACTGGAGGATGGATAGAAGTAGGTCAGGAGGAGAGACTGAGAGGAGAGGAGACATGTGGAGAGATGGATAGAGGGAAATAAAGGGAAGAGGCTGCCAACTTTCGGCTGTGTCTTTTCTACCTCTATCTCTTCAGTTGTCTGTCTGCAAACACACATTCAGGCGTGTGCGTGCGTGTCACTGTGACTGACAGCTCCTAGCCAGCAGCCTGCTCCAAAAGCCAAAGGCTTCATAATAAACACAACATGGTTTAATTTACTCCTCCAGGCAGAGCGGCGCTGCTCACTTCGCTCGCTGCCTATTCATAAACAGGGTCACACACACATACAAGTATGACACACTGCAAAACTATCCTTCTCACCAAATCATTTTGAGATTTTTTTTATATAGGCTATCTTTATTTGGACTCTACTTCTAAGAGTGCTATTTTTGTGCAAGGAAAATATAAACTATGATGACATGGCAGTTTTTCTGTATTTTTTTTCTTATTTTTTTCCAAAAGAGGATAAAGACGTTTTGGATATCTTCATGAAAAATCTTTCGAAAGCAGTTGACTTACATTTAGTATTGATCGAAGGCACACTGTCCAACTGCTGTGCGCCTCTGACTAAAGTGTGTCCTTGCCCAATACGACTGACAGGCGGCCCCATCCACCCAGGGGCCATGGTTGTCAGAAACGTGTCCACGGTGGGACGCTGACTTGGCGAGGCCCGTCGTCACGGCTACACCAATGACACGGCTCGGATGTGGGTGAGCTTCCTGGGTGGCGGCTCTCATTCAGCCAATCAAGGCAAACAGGCCACGCTCTATTTAATGATTATCCCAGCATCTGTCCCCCATCTCTCATCTCTGCGTGGAAGCCGACAAACACGAGCGCAAATAGACTCGCAAGAGCTCAGTGAAAAAACATCCAGCTGAGCGGCTTGATTCTGACTTTCATCGAGTAATTTCATCTCAGTTAAAATCAAATCTAGAAGTGCGAGGGTGCATTATCAACAAACTGTGTGCCCTTGATTCATTATATTGTTAGTGGAGAATGCGGTTAATAGAGGATGAGATTGCAGCAGCAGCAATTAATGCCAGTCCAATAAAATACTTATAAAATAATGATTACCACATTTAGAATGTAATCTCAGTTGTTATCCATGTGCTAAAAAGAAAGGTAATACAGACAAAGGCAATCCATTCTGTTTACTTTTACTTACAGTGTGTGTGTGTGTGTGTGTGTGTGTGTGATAAGGTTTACATTGTGCCTCATTTTTTCCTGCAGCTTGGCAGTTGTATTGATTTCATTTCCGGCATTTGTTTTGTGGAGAAGACCGGTTTCTGCCTGGTCACCTGCATATGCTGTATGGTGTTGTTGTTCAGCCGGTTTACTCAATCAGTGAATCCGCTCTATAATTGATAGCACAGAGGTTTGTGAATTGCCTTGGACACTCGCCGTCGCTCTCCGTCTCCCTCGTATTAGGATGCAGGTGATCCTCAGCTGTAAATCATGTGGATGCTGCGAGACTCCCTGCAGGCATGGGTGGAGGAAAAAAGAGACGGACAACATGGAGCGCTGGGATGATGAATTTAACGATAAACAGGAGAGAGTAGCGAGAGGTGCTAAACGGGACAGCGAGGCCGAAACTGAACCAACACCTTGAGAAAGACAAAGAAGGCTAATATTCTTGATTTATCAGCCCAGCAGCTTTTGAGAGAAATGAGAAGAAGAAAGCTGTCCGTGGCCCTTATTCTAGCCCGCGGGATGAACGCTCAGTATTGCACTCTTTGTCTTTGGTTGGGTAAAAAATGAAGTGCAACAACAATAAAAATGCTAATCAGAATAAGAAAAACACATTGTTTTCATTTTCAATTTAACAGGCCACTTGATAGAAGAGAGAAAACAATCTGGACATTAATCTACAAAGTCCATTTCTTTTTTGTTGTGATTGATTATGAGTCAGATCATGAATTACACTCCACTGCTTCTACCACCTTTTTGTCTCACACAGGCATACAGTGCAAAAGTTATTTATAGCTGTACGCAGTCAGAATCATATCTTTGAAGCCACCACTATTTTTGCATGTTATAGCTCTTAGTGTTTTCCCATGTGTACTTTGTTTGCCTTTAATCTCAGCAGCTACAGAAGAGTTAGTGCAGCACTGATCAGCCACACCTACTCATCATCTCACAGTTATTGTGTATAATGAGAAAGTGAAATATTACTGATTGCGAGACAGAACACCTGATTCAATTATTTGATAAGTTTCCTATTTTTGCCCGTAAATACAATGTGTTCACTTCTGTCTTCACTGATACAAGACCTAAATTGTAACTCTTTTTTTGGTCCCCAGGTGAGACCAGAGCAGCCCTGTCACGCCCACAGCGCCCCCTTTCGGCCCGGACGGCCCACCACGCCCCGGCGCCTGTGAAAGGGTACCATGTCAGCCGTAGCATGTCCCAGCATTCCTCCGGGGGTGGCGGAGGAGGACCCTGCCACTGCTCGCCTGAGGACTGTGATGGCCCAGGTAGAGACTACTATCAGGGTCACGCCGATGGCCACTATTACCCTCATGGAGGTCCGGCTGAGGCCCTGGCGCTGGAGAGGCACCATTCTCACTCCCATTCTCATAGCCACTCTGGAGGGGGAACCTTCCCCCGCACACACCCCAGCCAACACCCATCTCTCCAGTCGTTTGACTCTTGCGAAGAGTGCCTGTCCTCAGGCCACGGAGGGAAGATGCACCGCATTCCCCCGAACATGGTAGACCAGTTTGAGAAGCAGGTGCCCTTCCATCCTGATGGCTTCCACACACTGCAGTACCAGCGCAGTGCTAGTGGGGGTGCTGAGCCGCGCAGCGAGAGCCCCTCACGCATCCGCCACCTGGTCAACTCTGTGCAGCGCCTCTTCGCTAAGTCCCATTCTCTGGAGGCACCGACCAAACGGGAGTACAACGGCACGAGAGGAGGCGGGGACTCCCGTGGCGAGAGAGGAGGAGGCCACAGGAGTGGAGGGGAGGATGGCGGAGGCCACTATTCAGGTCATCAGCCTCGCTCTACCAGGAGGAGCAAGTCTCGAGAGCGAAGCAAGAGCGGAGACTCGCGCCACGAGTCGGGCAGACGCCACCGCAGCAGGACAGCAGGCTGGTGGAGCTCTGACGACAACCTGGACAGCGACAGCAGCTACCTGGTCAGTGGGGGCAGACGGGGGTATCCCAGCGGACACGAGAGCCTGGATGCAGCAATCCAGGAGCTCACCATGAAGAGGCCCAAGGAGCGTGGCGAGCGTGGAGGTGGTGGGCCGGTACCTGGGGAGTGCGTGGCCTGTACCACGATGGCTCTGGCTGGGAGTGAAGGAGGGGGACATCACGGGCCCCATGGCCAATCCCTGAAAAGGAGCACCTGGTCAGCCATGACAGTGAGTCAGGCCAGAGAGGTGTACCCTTCTACCAGGGGAGGAGGCTACGAGAAAGCCCTGGTGCCCTTGGAGAGTAAGCTGAAGGAGAGGACCTTCCACTACTTGCAGGTGTGTATACGCTTGCACGTCAACCAATGATTGTATGTGTGTGTGTGTGTGTGTGTGTGTGTGTGTGTTTGTATTTGTGTATGTTTGTGTGTGTACCGAGGGAATACACTATGTGGGTGACTGTGTTTGCTGCTCAAAGGTAACCTGTGTCTTGTCTCATGCAGGTTATTTCTTAGCTTCAGTTTACACATTTTGCATCAAAAATGTCACAACTTCTTTTTTGAGGCATAACTCAATCAACCCGAGTGCATGTTCCAGTGATTGCTGCGTTTCCAAAATCCGTTAAGGATAACCATCCACAAACCTAAAAGGGCATTCAAAGAACTCAGACCTCTGCCAAGGCCAAGCCCTATCTCGCAATGTGTTTCGGACTTCCTGTGATTTGAATGTAATGGGTTCTACCTTGGCCAATGCTACACCCTTCCAACAAGTTAATGAAAATCGGGCCAGTAGTCTTTCCGTAATCCTGCTGATAATACAAATAAACAGGAACAAAAACAGAAGCTGTTTGGTGAAGGTAATCATGTTTAAACAGCTCTCTCTTAACCTCGGATCATTCCTGATAATCATCAAATTAAAATCTTCTGTTTCCAAATGAATCCATTTGACTGTTTGTCTGTACATCCTAATAAGTGCATCCAGTGCTAAGGGGAGGCACTAGCAGCTAGTGCCGCATGGGGCAGATTTTCCTTAAATGTAAAGAAATAAATTGCCATGATTGATCTCCAAATCCAACACGTTTTTCCCTTTGCCCTTTCTCTCATTTTGTGTGAATTCTGTCAAATGAAAAGCTAATGGCTGTTACAGTGTACCTGTAACAGCCAAAAGTCAGGTGAAAGAGCACACACACTCACACACAAACGCACGCACAAACCTCCAGCTGTGCTCAGCTAGAGCTGCCATGCAGGCTGTGTTTCTACGGAAACAGCAGGTAGCCACAGGAGTCCGTGGTGTTTTTCCAACTCTCATCCTTTAGACACAGCTGAGGTCTGCTGATAGAAGAGACAGAGGGAGCAGGCTTGTGCGTCTTAGTGTTTTCACAGGACAAACCCCACAAAATTAGCCCCATGTGCTGGAGGCTACCATCACATTCACACCCCGGGACACGAAATGAACTTCCCCACTGCAGCTTTTCTCATATCTCCATGCGTCACTTGCAGTTTTGTGAGAAGGGCCGGGGTACAGAGTGAATTTTGGGTCTGCGCTTGGATGTGCTGAAGTCAGCCAGATTGATCCATGGTTTCAGAGCAGAGAGCTTCCCGGAGCTGCAGATATAGAGCTGTTCAGGTCTATACTCCACCGGTGCCTCAGGACAAGCAGCAGTGCCATATTGAAGCAACAACTCCAATCTGAAGCCTTGTTCTCTGGAGGCAAAATTGACGATGTTTGCTGCGTGAATCATGCATTACACAACTGATTTTAAAGCCGGCATAAATATTTTGATATTAACAATTGATTACATGTCTACTTGTATATGAAAGCGATCACTTTGTTTGTGATCATATTTTTGGTAGTAGTGAAAAGGGAGGACATTGTGATGCTCCTGAACAGAAACACAAAGTATGCTGTGCAAATACATTACATTTTAAATCAATTTAAATATGGTACGACTGTTCCTTTAAGTCAGAAAGAGACAAAATAGTTGGACTCCCAAGCTACCAACTGTCATTGCAACATTAACATGTACATACAGGTCCGCAGTAGGTCATCGCTCAAGTTTGTGGCACACCAGCAAGAAAAAAAAGGTGAGGCATTTTGAAGTGAGAATTGAAGAAGAAAAAAAAAAGATTGAATCTTCACAAGTCTGAATTACTGTGGCCAGAGTCAAAGGGACATTTTCAAGGTTTTCTCCTATGGCATCAACGCCAATCACAACTTTGGGCATCAGAAACCGGGGCTCTCCATTCACTAAGCCTCTACCTTCCCCTCGGCCTGTGCCCGACAGATAAGGGATGATAAAAACCAGAATATGGAGCGAGAGTGAAATGAAGACAGAAACAGCGAGGGAGAGAGAGAGACAAAGATAGAGGGATGCAGAGATAGCAAAGCCAGCTCGGGGATAGAACGGAGATAAAGGAGGTGATGGTGGCCAAGGGGTGAAGCGAGAGGAGAGAAAGAGCAGCATGAGAAAATGAGAGAGATAGTAGAATGCCAGGGGGATCGGGAGATTAGGCTGAATCATCTTTTAAGTGATGACCTTAAAAACATACACTCAGCTGGATGCCAAACCCTGGGGGCCTTGACTGTGTGCGTGTGTGTGTGTGTGTGTGTGTGTGTGTGTGTGTGTGTGTGTGTCAACACGTGTAGGTGTTTTTATTTGCTCACATGCTTGTGTGAGACCACACAACTCACAGCATTTGCGAAAGATTGTTCTGCTCAAGCAAGTTAGCAACTCACTAACAGTTTGGCTCTGACGGATAAGCTAAATGTAATAAATTGGCAAAATAATTTACAACATAACAAGAAACAAGTGTGGAAGTCAGTGATCAGTCATGTAGGCATGACTGTATGAACATGTCTGCAGCAAACAAAACCAAAACAGCAGCTGCGTCAGCAAGGGAAGGTGAGGAGCTTTTATATTAGCAACGGCCACACCGAACCAAGTGTGGCTCAGGAAGCTGACGACCCTCCACTCTGCAAAACAAAGAAGAACCAGCAGGGACATCTCGAGGAGCGGAGGGGTCATAAAGAAAGTAGAAGAGAGAGACAGATATTTTATTCAGGAGTTGATGGAAATCAAAACAGAGTTAAAAGGAAAACGAATATTGGACACACATTTGTCAGGTTGCCAGAAACACAACTCCAAAACATTGCTAATATTAGCACTTTGTCTTTTCAGTTGTCCTGTGGACCCCAAATGGCCAAAAAATTCAACTAATGCAGCTTTAAAGACAAGAACTGCTGTGTGTTTCAATCTTGCCCTTTATAGCTGTCTATCTGTGTTTTTCATTGGTCAGGTGCCCCCCCCCAAATCATGGAATGTTTTGGAATATCATTGAATTTAAAGGGGGATATTTCAGGCAGGGAATAACAGGGTATTTGAAAAATATTTCACAGCTTCATTCACTGCATAACAGCCCAGAAGGGGTAACATTTTAAAGAGTTATATCAAAGCATTCCGACTTATGAAAAGTCGTACATTTTACATGACGGCCACAGTGGGAACCTGATGTAATTATTACTTTTTTGTTTCATATCATCGCTCCTTATCAATTCTATATTTGTTGTCTTCCTCCTTAGTTTATTGTCCTGGCTGTGTTCCTTTGTGTGTGCATGTGTGTGTGTGTGTGTGTGTGTGTGTGTGTGTGTGTGTGTGTTTTTCATTTTGTTTTCTCATCAGAATCTCATTCATCTGCCCATCTGTCTTCCTGCTCTCTGCCTACTTCAGTATGTTATTCAGCTTCTCCGTTTGTCGGTCGTCCACCCTGCACATCAGTCTCTCTCTCTCTCTCTCTCTGCCACCCTCCCTGTCTCTCTGCCAACATTTTGTCTGTCTGTCCACTCTGCTTGTTTACCTGCCTTTTGGCTCATTGCTTTATTTACTCTGTTTGTCGGCTTATTCTGCTTCTCCTTCTCTGCGTCAGTGTTTCTCCAGCTGTCAGAGTTTCTCTCTTTCTGTAAGTCACTTTGTCTCTTTGTCTCTTTCTTTAACATCATTTTCCATGTATGTGCATGTGTGTGGTTGTGTGTGTGTGTGTGCTCTCATCATGTTCATGAGCATGCATTTAGCTATCTGTGCGGGTGTGTTGGCTTTACACTGAGTGCACGTGTGCCATGACTGTACGTCTGATTCATCGTTCTCCCTCTGTTTGAGCTGTGAAATATATTTCAGTGATGAAACATATTTCTGTTTTGAGAGGTCCTTTGACTTTATTAACAGATATTGGGAAGAAGCTGCCAACGGCGCAGTGACAACATCTGCAATATCTCCACACTAATTCATTCACAATGTGATCAACTGCTTTTCCCTTTAACAGTTTGTGTCGAAGAAGAATGCATTCTTACTTTGGAGTCGGTGTTTAACCCATTAACAGAAAATCTTACTAAAACCGATTGACCATGGTTGTACACTTATACTACTGTATGTTGCAGATTAATCCACCTCCAGAACGGTTCTGTTTTTTACTCATCAATGACCATGTGAATACTCTTACGAATGTCATTGTGTCTCAGGTCCCTTCAGACGACTGGGGTGGCGGATATGGTGGCGGTGCAACAGACGGTGGGGGGGAGATCCCATGCCGTCGTATGCGGAGCGGCAGCTACATCAAGGCCATGGGCGATGATGACAGTGCTGACTCAGACACCAGCCCAAAAGCCTCACCCAAGTCCACCCTGATTGCCCAGAGGGAGGCCTTTAGACGATCTATCAGCATGGATCAAAGGTCTAATGTCACAAATGGAGCGTCTGGCCTTTATGATGTTGTGTTTTTATGTTGTAGCTAGATTACTGACTGTTTGATTCATTCGAAAGCTGTCATTTTACCATGGAACGACTTTTTGCATGACACTGATCTAGTGTTGTTGATACATGCCTTTGATATCCTTCCATTTTTGGTGTTAAGGTCTTGGGTTCAAGGGTTAGACGACAACAACAACAAAAACACAATATTATGACTCAAATCCAAAAAACAAAAACAAAACAAGAGAACACATATTTGATTTAGTACTGTTGCGCCGGGATAATAACCCTGATGACGTCACCTGGGTTATTTCCTCCACAGTCACAGAGAATATTACATACATTTTTAAATTGGTGGTGTGCCCCTTTAAGATATTCCGTGGCAGATTTCAGTAAACCACAGCATCTTGAGATGAGGATATCTTTCATGTGGATACATAACTCGTAATGTATACTCATAACTCCTTGAAAAACTTGGACGGACTTAACTGCACTTCTGCATGTTAAATAAATAGATTTCCTCAAATGTTCAGAATGATTTCAAATAAGATAAACACATAATAGTCATAACATGATGCATTGCACTTTTCCCCATTTGACATGGGAATGCAGCATTACAGCACTCAAAAGGTCAGAGCATGACTCAGTGACATTCTATTTGACAGTTGTGGTGAATCCAATGTGTGTTGCTGCTGTGAATGAATTTTTGACATTGAACTTTGACATTGAGTTTTAAAATGATTTAATTCAGGTACTCGTGTAAGCAGTGTACTGACCCTTACCCCAACAGCCGAACCACACCCAAAACCCAGACCCGCTCTCGTAGTTACACCCGCTCTCTGACCAGCTCACAGGTAACAAACAATGTGGCTTACGTGTGTGATTTATGTATTTGCTTAGGTTTTGGGGGATGTGGAATTTAAGTTGAAGTAACTTGACTGCAGCAATGTGTCTCTCTCGCATCCTTCAGTTGGGAGACACGTTGAACCGTCAGTTCGAGGCAGTGTGCGAGACCATGTTTGGAGAGGTGGAGTCTCAAGCCGTCGAGGCCTTGGACCTCCCAGGTGTGTTCCGCACTCGCAGCCACAGCTACGTCCGTGCCATCCAGGCCGGCTGTTCCCAGGACGACGACTGCCTCTCTGTCTTCTCCATGTCGGGCCCCCAGGGAAGCATCAAGGGCGGGGCCGGTGAGTGTGCGCATGTGTGTGTGGTTTGGTGCCCCAATAAATACAAGTCTGTGTTGTCTGCGTGAGTTGTTACAAGGAAGTGTGGTTGCCTTTGATGTGGCGGCAACCTGGTGGGAGACGCAGTAGGACAGATGGTGTGAGAAGGCATTTTATGAGAGCTTGTGTCTGCTTACTTAGACAACAGCAAGCTCATGCACACACACACACACAACCACAAACTCTACACCCTCATCCGTTGCTCAGCTGCCTGCAATGTGTGCATCCATTTTTAATTTGTACCCTTGAATTTCTCCTCTGTTCCTTCCATCTCGTTTTTTCACCCAATCATTCCTGCAGCACTTTCCTTGTGTTCGTGTATACTGTATGTGTGCATTCTATAAGCACAGACCTGTGTGTATGTTATTGTGCATGATCTTTGTTCTCTGTATCTCATCTCTCCCATCACCCTCCACGGTGTGATCGCAGGGTTCTCAGGCTCAGTAATAGGTACAGGAACGCTCTGATGATAGCTCAGTGTCTCCAGCTGCTTCTTTCTTCCCTTTTGCCTTCTTATGTATCACTCTTTATCTGAAACGTGTTTTTGTGCATTTTGTGTTTGTTTGTTTCATCTTTGCAATCGTGCTTTTATTCAAAGCCAATATACAGTAAACCTGGAGTGATTTGTGAGTGTGTCTGTGTGTGTGTACAGGGGACTGCACAGCCACTTCGGTACCTTGCAGGACTCAAATGTCTAAGCTTAGACCAGCAAATCCCCCCCTGATGTGTTCTATACATCAAGTACAAACACACATGCGCGGCACGCAAACTCAAAGATACATACACCTACATACATGCATGCTCCCATGCTGGAGCTTAGAGCCGTCATGGTCAAGACCTTTGTAAACTGTGACAAGCTGGTTGGCGGTGAAGATGCTTTGCAAGAAATGCATTAAAGTTTGATCCCTTATTCGCTGAAAATGAACTGTGTGTGCGCGTGCACACAGACGCTTGAACCAAGATGTGAGGGAGGAGGAAGAGACAGAATCTGCCCCTTCTCATTTTAATACTTCTCTCAGGAAATTGCTTAATCTTCCCAGGAAGAGAGTTAAGAGAAGAGGTTTTCTATTATCACTTCTGTCAAATGTGTGTCTTTTCCACCACCCTGCCTCCCACTAAAATTCATGCCAAGAACTGATTTTTGGTGTAGACAAACAAAGCTTTTGAGTTTTGTTCATGAATCTTTCTGTCACATCTTGCATTGGCATTATTATTTATTGATTTTTGTTGTTTTCTCTCTTTCTCCCTGTATTGGTGAACCCTCCTATATGTCAACACATTTCCCTCTTTTCACTCTTTGCATTTCCTTTCACCTTCTCCATCCAGTCTGTCCCTTTTGTAAGTATCCACCTCCCCTGCTCCCTGTTGATATAGTACCTCTTTGCTTTTAACATCCCTCTATGCCTCTCTTCCTTTCTCCCCCTCTTCTGACACTGAAGTCTTTCCTTATCGTAAAGGTGCTCCTCCTCCGCTCCCACCTCGCATGTCCAAGTCTTCACTGTCGGTGCGAGCCCAGAGCAGCACTGAGTCCACCCAGGATGCCTACTTCCAGAGCGGTGGACAGTTAGCCTCAAGCTCGGGCCCCGGGCGTCCCAAGCAGCACAGCAACTCAGTGGACCTGGGCAGCTCCGATGGCCCCTCGGGTCGCATCTCTAGAGGGGGCTACTACACCGCGACAGGACCTGGACGTTCCCGACAGCACAGTAACTCGGCAGAGAGCTTAGATGGTGTCAGGGGTTCGCGGGAACTGGTGCCCTATGGAGGGGGTCCGGGTGTAAGGGCCAAACACAGCAGCTCGGCTGACAGTCTGCTGGAGGGCCCACCGAGGCCGGCCAGGGAGAGAGACGGCAGGGTCGGGGGCAGCCTGGGGAAGTCAGTGTCTCTGCCTCAGAACAGCATGGTGCTGTGTAAAGCTGGGCGGCAGGACGAAGGGCGTGGTGGGAGAAAGTGGAGGCCATCCATAGCCGTGCAAGTGAGAAAGGACATTTTACTCTATCAGAATATGCAAGATTGGTGTTGATCTTGAGCCCCGAAATATGAATGATGAATGAATAAAAATGTCTCATTTATGACCAGTTGTGCATGACATCTTTAGTGTGTGTGTTTTTAGCAAATACCTCTGCGCTCTGACTGTGGTGTTTGTTGCTTCTTCTGTTCCAGGTGGACAGCTCAGAGACTCTGTCAGATTCAGACGCAGAGGGCAAAGCTCTTACAGAGGTCCACTCTATAGGAGTCCAAGTGGAAGATGACAAAAGGTAATGGAAATACAACTGGAAATCAAAGCAGGGGAAAAAAAAAAAAAATCTTTGAAATCTCTTCCCAACTTTATGCGTGTTTATTTTGCCTGCCATTTAACTTTCCATAATTATGCACACAAACTAACAAACTAAGATGTGCATTCGTTTGTTTGCTAATTGCCCCAAAATATGTGGCTTAATCAAGAGCTTTTGGTCTTTACACAGTAATTTATGTGAATAATTTCAGTACATAATTTGAAAAAGCCTTCATCTCCCGGGCGCCCAACAGTGCAGCCACCTATGGTTGATTTCTAGGCTAGATCCTATTATTTCATTTAACATTTCATCAGACATCTCAGCTTGAAACCAACACTTTGTTCCACGAATGTCTTGATTTTCGACTGTTACCACTGCTACTGCACTACTGCAAATCATACACTCGACATGACTTTCACACAGGATGCAGCCTTTCTCCTAATTACATCCAGCATTGCTTATGGGTCAGATACACGTGCATGCGTGCGAGCACTCAGCAGCATCGCGCGTTCCCGAACCCCGAGCGGTGTGTGATCATGCACCTGTTAACAATGTTCCCCACCTCCTGCAATATTGAAGGAGGACAGTGTGACGTCGGGGGAGAAAACAGAAGAGAAGTGCGAGAGCGGAAATCTGAGTCACACCTCAAGCCTCATCAGACAGCAAAGAAGGGGAGGTGGGGTATTAACTTGTAATAGAGTAAACACTCATCACTGAGTCCATTGACATGACATTTGCACACACTGGTGCGTCATATGCCAAAGGATTTAGCAGGGCTTATCACAGCCGAGAGAGCAGTAGTGACTGCAGCGACAGCGTGACTCTCTTGCTCCGGTAGGAATGTGCAATAATTAGAAGACAAACTGACTGACCATTGCTTTTGCATGCGACACTCTGTGTGACTGGATGGCTCTGGGCTTGCTTTAACTCCCTGTGTTGCAGGCGGGCTCGTTTCAAGCGCTCCAACAGCGTGACGGCGAGCGTGCAGGCCGACATGGACCCCGAGGGCTTCCCGGGGCTCAGCATCGCCGTGCCAACTCAGGACAAGGGTCTCCAGTTCGGCTGTTCCTTCCAGAGGCACTCGTCGGAGCCGGAGTCAGCTAGCCAGTACGCGGATTGCCACCGCACCGTCCACACACAGGGACAATGGGCCTACAGAGAGGTAGGTCTGCAGTGACACGCTGGGCAAATACTATTGTACGTATCAATCATTAGTCAGGGGTCCAATGTCCCCTTGTTGATGTAGATATTAGAAGTAGTTCAGCCATACCTAATGGTGAAATGAATTGCTCGTAGATGAAGACAGAAGGAGGAGGTATATCAATTAATTATGGTCCAAATACCATGTGTCCAACACTTTTCTTATGCTATCCCAGGACTTTATCCAGAGTGGCTATACGACTGAGGCCTGCCAAGCGGATCCACGGCCCCACCAGCATCCACACTTGCCTCCACGTTCCCACTCCCCTCTGCCCATCACCTCTGAGAGAGCTTGGGCGGGGACGCCGTCCCTGGAGGGCCCCCGGAGCCTGCCCGACTCGGGCCGAGCCTCGCCCTGCATGAGAGACGGAGAGTTCTTCTTACGCCTCCTGCAGACGGAGGTGGAGAGGATGGAGGGCTGGTGCCAGAACATGGAGCGAGAGGCAGAGGAGAACGAACTGCCAGAGGAGAGTGAGTTTGGGGGAAGGATCGAAAAGGATCAGAGGAAAGGATACACAATGAACGCTTCTTTGATTTCTAAAACTGCTTGTGTGCCGTTTCTTCTCCAGTTCTTGAGCTGATACGAAATGCAGTTGGCAGTGCCCAGATGCTCATGTCTCAGAAAGTCCAGCAGTTCTTCCGCCTCTGCCAACAAAGTGTGGTGAGTATGTGTGATTGAATGTAAAAGCATGACAACACAGATTACATATGATGCACGGTTTGCATGAGATTCACTGTCGCTAAAGGCTAAATTAGCTTGGCTGCAAAAATGTTTATTTGAAAATTAGTTTTATGTCTTTCTCTCTTTCACATATCCTTGTGTATTGCTTCGTCACCCATGACATGTCATGTTCTGTCTCCCTGCTCTCCCAGGACCCATCAGCGTACCCCCAGCCCACCTCTCAGGACCTGGCAGGCTTATGGGACCTGCTCCAGCTCAACATAGAAGACGTCAGGGTCAAGTTTCAGGACCTCCAGAGGCTCAAGGACTCTGGTTGGAGGCTCCCACCTGAAAAGAAGGTGAGAGGCCCAGGGGTCCAAACAGCCCTGGTTTCCCAACAGCACTCTCCCAGGGCTAAGATGGCAGTGTGCAGAAGAGTAGCGCAGATGGTCGTGCCCTCCAACCCTATGCAGGCTGTAAAAATACAGAACAGCAAGAGGAACTGAGCTGCCCATGAGACGATGGAGTCTTAAACTGATAGAAATCTTAATGCATATCTGCTTTTGTGCATTTCCTGCAGCTAGTCAGACAGAAGACATGTGTCTGTTACATTGTTGTCTTTAAAGGTTAGGCTTCTCACTGATCAACTACATTATTCTTGATAACAAACTAACAATTATTTCTCTTTTCTTCTTTTTCTTTTTACATGATCTTTTTTTTAACCTTCTTCTCCCATTTCATATCCTTTTACGTCACCCGATGCCAATGCATGTTGAGATGCTTTTTGCTTATTATTTTTTTGCTTATGGTTATTTGTCTCTCATAATGTCTCGGCCCGTGATTCTTCCTCACTTGAATTTGACCCTTTTTGTTGGTGGTTGTGCTCTTTTGTTTGTCATTCTCTTTGTTTCTCCCAATATCTCCACTTTTTTGCATGGGATTCCTTTCGTACGACCATACAATACCATTTTTCTTTTTTTCCCCACCCGATACGACAAATCCATATATTCATCTTATATCTACGTCTCACCATTGCCGGGCTAGGAGGATAAGAAACTTCCTCCTCCCTTACCAAAGAAGCCAGTAGGTGGGGTGAGTGGCAGCCTCCGGGCCGATAGCGTCGGTGATGGAGGTGCCGGAGGTGGAGGAGGTGGATCGGGTGGCCTGGTGGTGCCTCGCATTGGTGGACATACCATACCCATCAGGGAGAAGTCTCTGGACCTCGGGGACCGTCAGAGGACAGAAGCGAGGAGGAGGCTGCTGCAGACAAAGCGTACTGCCTCCTTCAGGCAAAACTCGGCCACAGAGAGCGCAGACAGCATCGAGATCTACATCCCTGAAGCCCAGACTCGACTCTGAAGACTGTGGTGTCTCCCACCCACCTCCTCACCCACACTCAGCCCTGCTGACCTGCACACCAATCTCAGTCTATCTCTGAGCCCAGTACTGATCCTCTGCAGGTCATCTCTGTTCATCCGCTACCCTCCCTTCAGCATTTCCATCACTTCACTTGCCACAACCACAAATTCACTACTCTTGCTCATCAAACAAGCAATGACAGCCATTTTAGTGTCTTGAAATTTGGACATTTTACTGACACAGAGGCCTCAATGTGAAATGGTAGCTAGCAGATGTGAGTTATCGACTTTTTAAAGAATTCTCTGAATTTCCTTTTGGCTGACAAACACGTAACAGTCCACTTTTATAACAGTAGTCAGTAGTCAGTGGAGGTTCACGCAGTAGTAGCATGCCTGTGCGTGTTCACCTAGCACTTCTCCATCACTGAAAATAAAGGGCTTAAGGCACAAAACCTCTGTGGAGATGACGAGATAACAGAATCTCCCTATGGATCCCCTGTTGCCATCTCCTGAATGCCATTTGCAACAGAATCATCTGCGATATAGCCACACTCTTCACCAATGCTACCAGTATGGATGAATAAACATGGATTCATTTCTCACCATCAGTTTAAATGCCCTTAAAGTCAGATGGTTGGCGATCCCCAAATAACATTCTCTAAGCATAGTCAGTCAACTGCAGCTGGCACTTTTCACCCCGGGGCCATCTGTCCACCCAGGCACCCAGTCAAAGAATATGAAACTATTTTCTGCCTCTTCCCCTCATTCCTCACATCCCGTGTACCCATCGACTACCCGCAGTGATGCCGTTTGAATGTGCAAGTGCTATTTGTACATAGTGTGCACACTCATGTTTGCCAAAAAGAGCTTTTGCTGTGTAGCATCACAGCCTTGACAGCTAGAGAGCATCACAAACTGCTTTTCATGTAGTCCCTCTGAAGTTTCAAGTGTTCAGGGGTGGGGTTGCTGGGAGTTTTTAGGGGAGTATATTTTGGTGGCTTTTTAGGAATTTACTGAGAAGGCCCCCATTTCACTGTGAGACTACAGCACCACCAAGTGGTCCAATGAGGACCCACATCCAACAACGGTGGTCTTTAGAGAGTTCTTTCCACCTCAGTCAGGAATTAACAGACAACCTGATGAAACAGCCATGAAAGAAGATCAGTCTCTTCATTACTTTTTATCAGTTCTTTCCGTTCTCCTCTCTTGAATATTCAGAGTGGACTTTCACATGATGTGTTTGCAGAATTGTGAATTCTAAAGCAGCGGATCACAAAATAATAGCGGAGGAGAGCTGGCAAAGTCTTCAGCAGAATCCACTGGCCTAATCCTCTCGGTTTCGCACACCGCCGCTGAAAGAAGGAAGGATCTCTCTCAATCGAGAGAACACAAAATGAGCCGTATTTGGCGTAGCTCCCTCCAAAGCCCGTCCAAAAAGTCATCAAAGAGAGGAAACCATCGTTTCATTGCGAAATGATATAGAAGAGAAGCAATTTGATAGTGTTTGGTAATCATGCTGAGATTAAGTTACACTTGAATGGAATTATAATATATGTTAGTTGCACTATGTGTTCATTTCTCTTTCTCTTTATTCACTTCTTGAAATCAATCTGGTGTCTCCACGGAACAAAGTGTAGCATGATTTTAATGGCTTCGAAGGGGTCTTATTTATTTATGTCCAAACAGATATTTCATATTTAAGTGTTTTGTATGGATGGTGCCTATGTGTGTAGTGTGAATATGAAGGGCTGCGTGTCATGAGGGACATGTGATGAAGCCCAGTGAAAAGTCCAAATCAGCCGTTTTGAAGACATAAAACACAGAGTAAGAATCTTTAAGCATGACCTGGTTTATTTTATTTTTTAACATTTGGGTGGAACGTGTTGGCAAAATGGGATATTTTAATGGGAGATGTATATTTTATAACATAATCTACATTTCTAGATTAGTAGAGACTATTGAGTACAGTATGTGTACAAAAACAGCATATATCAAATGTGAAAAACTACAATATTATTATGATAGATTATAGCATTGTGTGATACCACAGCTGTGTGGCATATCCAGACTCGGTACACGTGAAAAAGAATTTCAATTGATTATTATCTTCAGTTTGTGAGTGCTGAGTCAGGTTCACAGGGTATAAATGGCAAGACTTAATTGCCAAGTATGATCCTCCTTAGGCCTATTGTATATCTGTCTGTGGTTCTAACAACATATACTGCTGTATCCCCTCCCTGTATTTCCCCTTTAGAACCAACTACATGTGCCTAACCAGCTATATGTGGAGGTTTCCTTTGAACACAGTTTACAGTAAATATATATAGAAATATATATAGAAAGATATGTAAATAGAAAAGTATACAAATCTGCAGAGAGTATTGTTGAAAAAATGTTTTTATTGTACTGACACTCCATCCTTTGTCTCCCTCACTTTCACGTGCAATACACACATAAGACTGGCAGATTTTGTGGACGTTAATACTGCATGTTTTATGTCAACCTCCTTTAGCAGGCAAAGCAAAGCTAATTTTATAGCTTATATACATTGTTTTGTGATTGAAAATAATTGACAGGATTTATACAATGCCGTTATTTCAATGACTCATGCCTTTGAACAAAGATGATATCATTGGAGGACGATGATACTGGCAACTTTGAAACAGCAATTTTGATTTGAATCTCAGCTGATCAATTGAACAACCTTCGTAAAACAAGCTGCCCTGGCAATGAAAAACGGGGCTGAGGATCAGACTTGTTTAATTTATTTGCAGCAGTGTGGGTTGTGGAGCAGCCTTTTTTTTATCCCCACACCCTTCTCCTCTGTTACCCTCAAACTTGACAACATCTCAGTGGTGTCTGACACAGCCCTCATCAAACAAAGCACAAATACCTGCTTTTATACTGTTACTCCACTGTGAAGGCCCCTTGACTCCACCCTCACAATCCTCAAACCTACACACAGAGGGATGGCAAGGTCTTTCTATTACGAGTCGGCCTTGAGGGACACCAGGAATCGAAAAGAGGCTTTGATGGATGTTTATCCACCGTAGCAACTACTACTTTTTCTTCAATTCTTGCTGACTTTCTCCTCTATACTTTTGATCAAACATTGAGGTGTTAGCCAGCCACCTTGCCTTGAAACAGGTCCATTGCAAACACATGTTTGGTGGTTTGATTTCCATACTGTTGCGTATTTTACAAATCCATCCGTCCTATATCTTCACAGTAGAAATGCAGGAGCCTCAGCTAGAAATAGCACCTGGGTGTGTAGTTGTACGAACATGATCTGAACACTCACCAACACATCAGACAGACCACTATACGAACCCTTTCACCTCTTTCTAGAAGTGCTAAAACCCCTCGTGGACAGCCAGACGGACAAGTCAACTCCGAGTACCTCAGTTTCTAGCAGCGGTGTCTCCAACCCCGACCCAGGCCTCTGTCCTCAGGGGATTCTCTCAACCAACGGACCCTGATAATACAGGACCAGATCAGTCCCGCGGGAATGTTGTCCATATTCTCTGAATAAAAGGGGAAATCATTTGAGCTCAGATTATCTAGCCATTCTCTAGTAGCCATTATCTGAGACTGGAGAGTGGCTGAATCACAGGCAGTGAAAGAAAGTGGAAGAAGTGTTTGGTTGAGGCAAGAGCTCAATTGTTGCCAATGTGTGTGGGCTGTATATTGTGCATCTGCAACAAAGTGGAGCAGGAAGGGATGCTGTTGCAGCAGATTTGAGTTTTAGTTGTGCAGAGGCAGAGCTGCTCTGGAGGAAAAAAGCAAAGTCACTGGTTGAGTTAAACCTCAGTGGGAGAAGCCAAGGACCTATTATGTCTGGCTAACCAAAGCTATGAGCTGTGGCTTTTTGTTCCGTTGCTTCCTGCAATATTTTAAATGACCATGTCTTGTTTTGTAGAGGCATTTGTATGATGAACAATCACGGTCACTTGTGTTTCAGCTGTTGAATACTTTTAACTATCAAAAATACGTCATTTGGGGGTATTATTAACAGTAACTTAATATACAGCATTAGGAGTAAAGTCAACAATGAGACTGATATCGATGAGATAAAAAACGCTGGATTACATACATGCTTCGATTCCTGTGAATCTTTTGTGCACAGGTAGACAATTTCATTGCAATGGCGGACCCCGCCACGAACACTGATAAGTACTATTTAGAAAAGGAATTACACAATGTAAATACATTTAATGGCCGTTGATGGAAAGAAAATCCAACCACAAACTGTTTAAAAAAATCCTATATTATATCTTGTTGATCAAACTTCCTTAATATATCATTTTTGGCGCTGCTCTTAGAGGTTTTACTTCCCTTTGCCTCCAGAGCAGCTCTAACCCATAGAAGATATTCAACTGAAACTCCAATGTGCCTTTAGCACTGAAGTGTAGGTTTGTATGTGTGTGCGTGTGTGCGTGTATTTACACTGTAATGTTGCTTTACAGTTTACACACAGGTAACCACGTGGGTCAGAGACAACTGAGCAATTACTGTGTAATTAACAAAAAAAATAATACCCAGCCACTCTCACGTTTACAAAAAATGTAAATAACCTGTTGCCAATGGACATTGCTATTCTCAATATATTGTTATTACAATATGATTATTAGTAGTAGTATGATTATTGTCATTACAAGGATTAATTATTGCCATCACTCTCATGATTATAAATGGTGTTGTCGATTATAGCTATTGGTAGACATTGTTCTGTATTCAAGGGCGAGTCTTGTGTACAATAACAAAAAAAAATAGTTTATTCTATGATGACAAGTCTTAAATTGCTGCTACTGCTACGAGATGGAGAACAAGTAAAGCAAACTGACAATAACTCTGGGAAGACATTTTTTCTCTGGGATCAATGATGGACACACCGATGAGGAGTGAGAGATCACAAGAGGAAAGTAAGCGTTGAACACATGGACTGATTGGAAGATCCAAACATCAGACTTTTTTTTTTTCTCCATGTGCATTTATCCCACTCTGATCTCTGAGGACAAAAACAACACGGACATCCAACTGATACAGACTCTCCACATTCTACTCTATAATGTAGCAAAAATTAAATAGGCTCTCGTCATCTACTATCTCCACCTCTACTCCTCTTTCATGTGTTTCTCACTATAAGTTTTAATCAAACGGGTTTGATACAGCGAGCTTTTCTGTCTTTAAGCTCAGCTTTATCTTGAGTTCTCTTGTTTTATACACGTTTGATTCAGTGCCAAGACAGCATACTGTACATACAAACATCAAATGCTTATGTTTTTTTTCTCCTATATAAAAAAACAACAACAATTGACTGGAGCATATAGCAATAGCGATGCCATAAGACATGAACTTTGTTTCATAATGCCACCGTGGATACACAGGATGCATGAGAACGCCACGGAGACGGGGAGATGCAGTCTGAATACGTGCTTGACGGCAGTGGAAGGGTGTTGCACAGTGACGTGTAAATCATGATTCTGTTTATTGTGTTGTGGTTCTCATTTTGTACATACAAATTTATTTATTGATCTTGTATGTTTTATGGATCTAGATGTGTCAAAGGAACAGGTCTGATTGTGCTGGAGCCCAGAGAGGTGGCACACTGTGACGTGGTTTACCCCCAACACAGAATGTAACACTGTCAAACGTTGTCAAAACATTTTCTAATGGCTAATATTAGTACTATTAATATGATTATTATAAAGCTATTTTAGCGAGTTAAATGAGGGGTGCTGTCTCCTTTGTGTTGATTTTCTGTCTCTATGGAATGTTTTATGCACATTTTGTGAAGTTATGCGCAGAACGTTGTGTAAGGTGCTGTGCCAGGCCAAGACAAGATATAGTCCAGCGCATTAACCCCCATAAAAATGGCGAATTGTGATACGCTTTAGGTTTTGTACGGATTAAAACAAACGAGACATGTGTATGAATGTGAGCTGTAAAGGTGGATTTTGTTTCAGCCAGGCTAGCTTTTTGCCCCCATCCCCGCTCCTGTTTTGTTCATCTCTCTCTCTCTCTGCTATAGGAATATGCAATGCAAATGCTAAACAGAGCACACCTATTATGCAGATTAAAAGAGAGGACAGAGGACAATTCAGTACTGGCATTCTGAATCAAATGCACTGTCCCCGTGGGTATACTCTTCGCAGTCAAGTTTAAACTCACACCGACACATTGAGAGGGGATTTTTAGTCCATTCACAAGACGGTCGTGCTAAAGAACTGCACAAATAAAGCCTGCTGCTACTGAATATAAAGTGTCCCGCTGAGATTTAGCAACATGAATCAGTAGCCTCAGGATAAGAGAAGCAGATTGAGGTCAGGAGTTAGTCAAAAACATGTGGGAGGTGAATGAGTTGCGGCACCCTGAGGCACTTAAGGGAGTTGCTGAAAATGAAAGTGCTAACAAGCGCTGCACAGAACATCAAAACAGTCTTCCAGAAGTGCTCATGCCATCTTGTTCCCAAACGTGACCTCTCTACGTAGCGCGAAAAAATAAGTGATTCACTCATACCGAGTGGAAAAAGCACTCTCAAGGTTTGCACATCTTATCCGAGACTACAGATATTTGGATAGGATTTGAGTTTTTAGAGGTGGTAATTGTGTCTGAGCACATCGCAGCAGCAAGGAACAAGTAGTCCCTCTCGTGATTACACACGGACTCTTCTAGTGAGAAAACTTTGTTTCTTGACCTTCCTTTAATGCCTCTATACACCCACACGGGTGTTTTCAGTAGTTCTGGCTGATTAGACCTCTGCTCATCTACCAATAAGAATGGTAAATATGTAATTAGTCCCACCCTAATAGGGTCAACAAAGCTAACCGCACACTCAGGGAGATGTCACTTAATTAGTCTATACACACCCACACAGTCCTGAGAAGAGTTCTAATCAGCCAGATTAACTCAAAACACCTGCGTGGGTGTGCAGAGGCAGAGCCTCCCCCTCTCAACTTCTGAGCTTTACGGTATAATATGAACCTTTAAGATACCTAATATACTGTGTGGCACAACAAAACCATTCATCAGAAAAATCATCTTTTATTAAAGTCATTTTAAAAGCATCGAGTAAAAAAGTGCATTTTTTTTTTTTTCAACGTACCCCTTAAAAAAACAAATTGTTTCTGAAGCTGCAATTAGACAGCTGAGAAGCTGCCATGAACGCTTCATATGCTGAACAGAATGTTAATATTTAATTCATAATCTTTCAGTCATTAAAAAACAAAAAACAGTACAATTAAGAAGCAGTGACCCACAAAGGCATCATTGAAGGAGAGTGTTTCATTCTTTCATTTTGGCAAAAATACTCATACCATTACACAAACGCTGTCCCTTCAACCATAGTGCATACGTTTCCTAATATCCCACAAACATAATCACAACCTGAGATGAACAAATTTTCAATATTCAACCGTTTTGGGGTTGAACACTTCTGGGGTGTGAGGCTCACTGGATGCCGTCCAGTTTGAGTGTCCAGGCCTGACCGGGGGAATAGGGTAGTTCAGGTAGGAGGACAGTAAGGCCAGCACTGGGGTGGAGCGGGGCCCAGGGTAGGGGATTTGGATTCCCCAACAAGGTCACCTGGACAAGAAACAAAAACCAGTTATTTAGATTCTCATACCTACATCCCCTTCTGTAAATGAATAGTTACTAAGCTGGTCATGTTGTGGGCAGCTATTAGTACAGCTCCTCTAAAAACAATATGCAACAACATAGACATCATTGTTAGTCCCTTTACCTTAGTGGCTGCTGATGTTTTGGGTCCTAATAGTTGCAATGTGAGCTTGGGAGGTTTGGCTGTCATGATGGCGTAGACAGTGGTCCCTTTGGCTGTATACCTAGAAAAATGGAGACGATAACTGCATTAATGTGGATTTTAGGACAGAGGGACGTCTTCATAGTTTTAAGAACATCGTTCTAAGAACCCCCTTTTTTTAATTGTGTCTGCAACGCCAGAACTAGGAAGGTTCATAGTTCACCATTTTAAGGATAATTTCTAGTTCTTATTTCAGAGTAGGTGCCCTCCCAGGGTTGCGTCTAGACGGTAACCCACAATTTGTTTTCAACGACCACATAAACACAAACAAAGCAAACGTTATTCTGCACTTAAATGGGGTTTGGCAGAGCAAACGGAGTATGTAAACAATACACAACATGTACATGTTGATTGTAAAAGAGAGGAACTACAAGATCGGCTCTCCCTCTGCCTCTTACCAGACTGGTACAGTGGTGTTCTCGTTCTGGACCCTCCAGGGTTTGGAGGCGTATATGGCCTCCCCGTTCATCTTCAGCCAGGCTCCAACACCCCTGAGTCTCTCCTCAAACACTGCAGGGATCATCCCATCAGGTGTAGGACCCACATTCAGAAGGTAGTTACCTCCCAGAGCCACAGTGCGAACCAGATCCTGTAACAGAAGCAGCAGGAGGAGGAGGACCAGTCAGTCACTGATCACAGTATTATTGTCATATATATCATTACAGATTTAGCAATACAATGATACTATCACATTGACCGCACCTCTATGATAGCCGGCAAGTCCATCAGCTCACTCATCTTCATATTTCGACGGTAACCCCAGGAAAGCATGTCCACAGACGTGCACTTCTCCCATTTGTGCTTGGGCAGCTGGCCTGGAGTATATTTGTCTGCACAGTTATAGTAGCCACCGTGTTTACACGCACAGCCGGCTCCCCATCTGTCATTGGTCACAACAGTATCCTAAGACAAGAAAGAAGTACATGAATGCATGTTAAAACCATTAATAGTTGGATTTATAGTACAGCACTGTTGCACAGTTAACACCATTATGTATTGCTTGCTTGTTATAAATACCCTTACTTTGACAGGGCTGTCATTGTAGAGCCAGGCCAGGAACTCGGTGGAGTTCCAGTAGGTGTCAGGCGCTTCCCAGTCCCCATCAGACCAGATCAGATCAGGTCTGTACCTGCAAAACAACAGGAAGGCAAAAGGTTTGAGAATCCTGCCATAACGTTGCATTGACATGTGCTTGTATCTCATACAGGCACATGTCCATATAACCAAGTATGACTTTATTATCACTATTCGGTGCAATAAACAGGTTTGTATTGTACGGTTACAGACCTTACAACCATGTTGTAAAGCTCCGGTAGCAGTTTATGCATCACAAACTGCTGTGTTTTGAATCCATTCTTCTTGTCAGCCAGGTAGAGAGGGTTGAACCACTCATACAAGGAGTTGTAGAGTCCATAGTGCAAAGACCTAAATGAGGAAATTAAAAACCTTAGAATCTGTCATTGACGACATTCAGAATCCATAACACTACCAACCAAAATTCAGGTATTAAAACCAACAAAAGCCAGGTATCTGAATGGCATAAAAAAAATGCAAAAGCTACAACACAGAATTTAAACTCTTTTTCCTAAATTGAAAACCTTCATACCTCACTGTATGGACCTTATTTGAATCATTGTATGGAAGAAATCAGTGACGCTGTGGCACTAAACGCTCAGTCTGCAGATTGCATGAACTAATACTGAAAATGGCGTTACTTAATTCATTGCATTCTTTGTATAATCATGTCAGCACTTTAATAAGTACCAGTCATAACACTTTACCTGAACTTCAGCACATTTGATGACCCACCTGTTGCGCACTGCCTCCGCCAGGTCTCCCACCAGGTCTCTGTGAGGACCAGTATCAACTGAATTCCAGTTCCAGGAGTTCGGGGACCCCCAGTTAGTGAATCCTTCGTGGTGTTTGGCAGTCAGGACGACATATCTGCAAGGAGCATGTGGACAGTGTTGCACACAGAATGTATGCGCGACACCGGTGTTTTACGGTAATCAGGGCAGAATGCGGAAGTGAAACGGTCTCGTCAAATGGACGAACATTTAAGCTAGCGTTAAGTTTAATAAATACACTCACTTTGCACCAGAAGCCTTGAACATGTCCGCCCAGTCCCCCGGGTTGTAGAACTGGGCGTGAAACTGGGGAGCAAACTCCGGGTAGCTGAAACCCGGCGGGTAGTTCTTCGACATGTAGCTCACACACTTCTGGTCCGGGGGCTGCTGTCCCTGCCAGTGCCACCAGAACCACTCGCTGCCAAACCCGGGGACGGAAAACACACCCCAGTGGACAAAGATCCCCACCTTGGCTTCGTCGTACCACGCAGGCAGCGGCCTGGCGTCCAAACTCGTCCAGTTCGCAGTGTACCGAGCCGCCGTTTGAGAAACCAAAGCAATAACAACAACAAACACGGCTAGCATGATTACACCAGGTGTTAGCACGGAAGCTAAGTCAAACTGTTCAGCGCCGATGTGTCTTCAGAGACGTTAAACCAGCTGATAATGTTGGCTAAAATGTCCCACAGCTGGTAGCTGTATTAGACACGGATTTCCCTTCTTGCTGTGACCCTTCAGATGTACTGTATCCCATCATATGACTGGAATCACGTGACCATTTTTTCCCCCACAACTTTATTGAACAAACAACAGACCATTGGAGACCACCACGGACAGAACTTAACCATAAGATGCACAGAGCCTAGACCGCCTCTTTAGTCGGATGCTGTGCAGTCATTTAGTTAATGGTTTCATCATGTTGGTTATTTGCTGGTGTCTCAGCCACTATGGAATGTTTGCATGCGAACAAAGCTGACGGCAAAAACAAAGTAAGCTGGCCTGATTTCAGAGTCTGGAATCAAAATCACAGAAACCAAACATATAGACAGGGGACCGTGTAATCTATCACACCATTAACATAAGTGTGATTCATTCTGATTTCCCTTTGCAACCAACGGTGCCTGTTATTGTGGCGTTTCCCCTGGGGAGATTTTTTGGGCATGTCTTTGTGGAGAATTTAACATTTAATACATATCGTGGTAATATTAAAGTTGGAACAGGATTTATTTCCAGTAATAACTCATGTGTTGGAAAAGTTTAGTGCGCATATTGAATATACTTCTGATTTCTTTTAGAAAGTTTAACTATTTGCATTCTGTTCTTTCGGTGTAAAAACACAATATTCCGATACAAGCAGGAAACACTGAGACCATCATCAAACTACAGAACATTTTGAAACGGTTTATAATGCATCGAAATTGGCAAAGGTTTTCTTTTGTATAAATGAAAAATATATGAACTGACATATTTGAATATGTCCCATCATATGTGATATAGCGATATAATAAGGTGACAAAATATTGTATGAAATAAGTTATGCACATAGATTTGTCTTGCAACTTTCTTTGGAATTAATAGGACGCCATCTCTGAACAATCCAGTTCTTTGCTACATCATGCTGGGTCAAAGTCGGTGTTGGTCTTCCAGCTGTTCTGCGCAGGATGTGGCCGCAGATAGAGCGTCCAGCCCGGCCTGGACGAGCGTGTCCCGCCGCTGAGACATGCGGCTGTAGCCTAGCCGCTTCAAGGTGCGCCGGGTAGTCGTGAGCGAGATGGCCTTCTCCTGCCCGCTGCTGTTGTACAGAGCCTGGATCTGCACACTCGTCGCGTGGTTGTTCTGTTCCACCACCCTCTCCATCGTCCTCTCGCCACTTTCGTCGACGAGACGCTTCCTCCCGCAGGACTCCCGGTGACTCGAGGTTTTCTGCTTCGCGCACCACTCCCTGTACACTCGAGACACTGCGGTCTTTGAGAAGCCCAACAGGTTCACCGTTTCCGCGATGCTGCAGCCGGCGCGTCGGGCTCCTACTATCATACCCCGCTCAAACGCAGTCAAGTCCCGCGACTTCCCCATGTGTCAGCGTTCAGTCCAACCGGTGCGTTGATGGAGCACCGCAGATACTCGCCTTCTGTTAAAAACATGAGGCGTTCTTCTTCTTTTGGTTTTATGGAGGATTGCACCGGTGTGCACTGCCACCTACAGTATATCATTGGGTAAATAAAGTCCGAAATAGTATTGATAAAAGAAAAACAAACCATAAAAACTCACTATATATTCTACAATACATATTCGACAACTGCTCACTACGTGTCATGTTATCTCTTGTTGTTCCCAGAATATCTGTAAGGTAAAATTCCCTTCCTCAAACTATTGAGCTATAGTCATATCCTTTCTTCTCTATAATTTCAACAGTGCACACCGCATCCTCTGTAAAGCTAGATTCAGATAATTTAATATATTTTTCCCATAAAGAAACAATGTTTTATCCAATCCTGTGTGACCCAATCTCTAAAAACACTTAATGGTTTTGTGCATACTGTAATATTTTCTTCTGAACAAAGCAAAGTTGTAAATAAACTACATCTTCTTTGGTTTTTGGCACATTAGACTTATTGATGCTCTCATCAGTTGGCTCTGCGATTTCTTCTCTGACCGTTTATATTCAATCAAAAATATGTATTATACAATATAGAACAGTGACAAACAGAACAGCGGTGCAGCCGTGCCAAAAGCTACTCATAAACAGGTAGGAGATAAAACCAGACCCTGAGGTGACCTCTTTTCCCAAAAGATCATGGCTTTAACTGAATAAGAAAGATTACAGTAACACTTATTACAGACACACACAAATTGTATTGTACACACGATTTATCTTTGTTTATGAAATTTTTACAAAAATTGGGCTTGTAACGATATTAAATACAAACATGACTACTCTTAAAAGGCTTTGGTTACAGAAATATGCTCATCCAGTGAGCTCTGATAGTGCACGGGTAACTGAGGAAGCCAACTTCATCCACAGTAAATACCTGAGGGACTTAAAAGACTCAGAACACAGATGTGATGACCATACAATGCTGAACTTTCTTTCTTAGTCCTGCTGTGTCCTTTGCCAGCCTTTTAATATTACTGTGCATATTAAAACGCACAGCAGAAAAATCCACTTAAATCCCATTGATCACCTATTTTAATATCACACACACACATTACAGTAAAGCGTAACAGAGATGCCCCTTGACCTAAAGTCTTGGTCCTGATTTTGTTACAACTCTCTGACGTTAGACTACTCCCTCCAGTTTCAGACACCAGGCATTTGCAGGAGATGCTGGCATAGTAGGCATAGAAATCGTCAGTCCAGCTGTTGGTGTCTGCAGTGCCCACTTCAGTGGTACATTAGGATAGTCCAGGAGTGTAACCTGTGGATTTAAAAGAGTAATGTGAAGAATTTATAATCATGACAAATTAAGTTAGCTGGGATTGAAAGTATAGGCATAAAGTTGAAAGGGTTACTTTTGTGGCTCCAGACATCTTTGGCGCTGTGAGCTGAAGTTGCTGTTTGGACGGCCAGCCAAGGATAATGGCATAAATGGTAACGTTTTTGGCAGTGTACCTACAATAGGAGCAGACAATGGTTTATTTTACATCACAAAATGAAAAGATATTGCTAGGGCTAGACTTCTTGACAATACCTTGCTTCGCTCATAAAAAAGAAATCACAATCTCACCAGACAGTGCTGTTCTCCGTCTGGACCCTCCAGGGTTTGGAAGCATAGATGGCCTCCCCATTGATCCCCAACCAGGCACCAAGTCCCCTCAGCCTCTCCTCAAACACTGGGGCAATCATACCATCTGACATCGGCCCAATGTACAGCAGGTAGTTACCATCCATCGCCACCACATACGTCAAGTCCTGAGGAAAGAGAGTGTTAGATTAGCACAAGATCACTGGACGTACACCAGTCTCAGGTGATGACCTACTGAACTTTCACCTTTACTCTGGAGAATAAAATCAACTTTTTTCGTCAGGCAAAGGCCCGCGACCCACCAGTTGAGAATCACTGGTTTAGAGTGTATGACACCTGCAGGTGTGGCTGAGCAAACACTGGAAACAACAGAGACTTCCTGCAGTCAAAACCCAGCTCGATTACAAATATAACAGGCTTGTGCACATTTTTTGTATGGCTCTGTGAGAGATCAGATAACTGTACCTTGCTCCAGAGGCTTTGAATATATCTGCCCAGTTATCCGGATTGAAGAATTCTGCGCGAAACTCGGACGCAAAATCCGCGTATTTAAAGCCCGGTGGGTAGTTTTTCTGCATGAACTCAACTGCCTCCCTGCGCCTTTCGGACTTGATGACCAGGGACCGAGAAGACCCCCCAGTGGACGAAGATACCGACCTTCGCCTCGTCGTACCACCGGGGCAGGGGTCTGGCATCCAGACTGGTCCAGTTCGCCTCGTAGCGCGCTGCGCATCCAGGTGCCCACGCGAGGAAGGCTATTACGCAAATAATCGGTACCATGCATCCAGCCCGCATTGGAGGGGACATGGTCCCTCCAGAGTAAATATGTAACTCCTACGACGACTAGGAAGTCCGTTGATATAGTCAGACTTTTTTATTTGCATGAACTTGAATAATGTTGTGGGAGGGTCACATTGTGCTGCCGCACTCCGGTAGTAACATAAACTATAACGTCCATCCTAGTGGGATTCATTTGAGTCAGTACTCATTTTGTGCAATTCTAATAAAACACAAACAAACAAAAAACGTATTGATTTCTTAATCTGAATCTTAAGTAGTCAGCTGCTTGCTTAAATGCAAAAAGTCTGGTTGCAATGACTACTAACACACACCGAAGTATATTCTCCGGTTGGGGTTCAACCACTAGATGGCGCCCCAGGCCACTGTTTGTGTCAATACTGCAGGGAGAGAGTGGGATTAAAGGAATACACTGCGGGCAAAAGTTTGGGGTCACCTGCCACAAAAGCTTGATCCATTAACGTGTGATGGCTGAGAGGACTACTCTGTATGTGCCATGCTTTCAGGTTGTAGAAAGTCCTTTTCACAAATATATGTTATTTTGTATGAAGGGTTTGTGTAAAAAGTTGTGTTTTGTAGATGTAGACCGACAATTGTAAGGGCGGAATTGAATAAGAATAGAAGGAATCACCCGTCATCAGTCAAATAAATTGGAAGCATAGCATCAAAATGTGAGCAGATTTTAAAAGTTTCAGTGTCACATGCACAATATAAAAAGATGGAATATCAACAGGTTTGTTGGGTTAGCACAGCTATTCTTAAAACATCACAATAGAAACAGAAGGTTAGTGTAGGGTTAGCACTAGTGGAATTGGACCAATGAATAACAGATGGATGTTATAGATGAACAAAAAACAGTGTAAACATATTTAATCCCACCACTGAGTGGATGAACAGCTGCCCAAAATATTTAGAGCCCAAATGCACCGTTGTGTTTAAAGAATGATCGAGGCTCATTTCTGCTAATTCAAAGTCGAAGGGTATTTAGGGGGGGGGAAACAGTTACAACAGTATTCTCCCCTGGCATGTAACACTGTGGGGACTTTGACTAAACATATGTTTCATTCAATTAATCCTTCTTCTGTTGAGGCCAAAACTATTACAAATGTAAATGATACATTCAGTGTCTTGTCTCTAAAATAGTCATGATTAAAGGAAAGAAGAAACATTAATTAACACTGACCGGCAGTGGAAGTCAACAATTACACATTTGCTGCAACAACATCCACAACTGCCCCAAAACACCCAAAAAGCAAATTGTATCTATGAAATGCAGTATGTTTGGACAAAACAAAACATGCAACGAGCTATTTTGTCCATCGTCTGTAAAGTTTGACAGCCATGTTCTCTTTATGTGCAGCACATACAGATACTTTTGTATTTGAGCAACTGTGTGAAGAAAAAACTAAATAAAAAGGACAAACTTTGTGATTAGAAACATTTTAAAACCACTGGAGCTAATTGCTGCCAGGCAAAATCACCGGAGCATGATATCTCACACAGTCAAAAGGACACATTACAAAATGAGGCAATAAATAAGGCAACATTTCAGTAATAATTTAACATCGATAACAGTTTGGCCACAGTTAAGAAGAAGTTTTCTTCTACTACAGATTCACCGTGTTCCCTACATCAGTGAAGACAGCCAGCTGCCTATCAAGCATCTGTTTCTCTACCATGTCCTCCACTCTGCCGACCTCCACCTCATCTACGTCGTCCATAAATCTGGACCAATCCGTGCCCGCGTCTCCACGTTCCGTGGGCTCTGCTTGGCTGGCCGGGTGACCGCTGGCGGAGTCGTCATGAGTGGTGGTCACGCAGTTGCAGCTGTCGCAGATGCCGAAGCGCCTGAGTCCCGCCGTGACGCCGGATCCGGTGAAGGTCCGCCTGCAGCCCTTACACGGTACCGGCCAGTTGTGCCTGTGGACCTGTCGGTGGTCAACACAGTGAGAGAAAAACAAAAACATACTGTGTGTCATGTTGCACAGGAAACCCCAACTTTTAGATTATTATCGGTGAAAAAATAGGAGATTTACGTAGAAGCCCAAATGTCAAAAACAGGTTAGGGTGATGGTCTTGCGGTCACACTGAGTTCTTACATTGAGGGCGTGGCTGCGGAGGTGCTCCTGTCTTGTGAACCTCTTGCCACACATGGGACAGGGGAAGGGCCTCTCTCCTGTGTGGCAGCGGATGTGTCTCTTCATAATCCCCTTCTGCTTGGCCGTGTACGGACAGAATGGGCACTTGTGGAGTTTCACTTGCACTACCAAACCATCACCTGCAGGAGGAGAGAGAGGCCAACAGTTGAGATTTACCTCAATGCTTGAGAATCCATTGAATGCAAAAGAGTCCCAGAGTCAGACATTAGTCACTATCGGCCATCACTTGCCAATTACCTGTCTCCTCTCCGAGCCAATCGGACTGGATCTCCATGATAGATGATCCCACAAACCCTAAACCTTCATCCACTCGGCCTCCTCCTGTGCTGCTACCTAGTCCTTGTGTAAAGCGCTGCCCCATTCTGTCCCCCGGCGGACTGGGGCCGTCACCTCTGGCCAGCATCTCCATCAGCTGCCTAGCATTAAAAGAAGGGCTGTATCCCGAGGGAGAGCGCTCATTGGAAGGAGAGGGAGGTAGCAGTCTGCTGTGATGAGGGTTATGGAGCGAGGGCCCAGGGTACGGGACCAGGTCTTTGGTGTCCGGGGACTCCATGAGCTCCTCATCGGGGTCGAACTCTATCTTGGGGTTCACTAACTCTGGGGTCAAAGCAGACGATGAAGAGGAAGAGAGGTTAGTCTGATCCATGTGTCCCTTCTGTCCTTCACCCCCAGATGCAAATTCCTCCCTGGAATGGTAGTCGCTGTCCATGTCTCTGCTTGTGCCTGGAGTTGTGATGACAGGGATGGACAAGGGGGTTCTAGCCAAGGCCACGGACTCCGGACATAAACCCGACCCTCTATCGGCCTCTGCAGCCTGTGAGTGAGGCTCCACAGCCTCTGCACCACAGGAGACCGTCACAGCAGGAGTGCCACTGTCCGCAGGACCCATCCCTCCATCCTTCTTCGTGTTCCTCTCCTTCTCCTTATTACATATTTCCAAAGACGAGCGGATGTATCCCTTACAGAAGTTCACCAGGTCGGTCATCTGCAGGTAGCTGCCTGCTGACATCACCTCGATGACGTTGCTTCTGTTCAGGGCCAAGCGTCCGGAGTAAAGGAAGTCGAGGATAATCGAGAAGGCATCGGCCGTCACGATGTCCAGCGATGCTGTGCTGTAGCGCTGTCCACTATCCTGAAAAGAGATAATGCATTTCTTAGTAGGTACTCTGGATGCCCTCCTCTGACAAGCTCAAGCCAGTTTACTTACAGAGTGCCCCAACTCCCACCATCCACCCATGAGGAAGTCATTTATTTCTTACTTTCTTCTTCACTGCTTTTATCAAAAGCGATCTGCATTGTTGTAACATGTTAAAGCATTAAAATGATGATTTATAACACTATCTTAGCCAAATCATTACATTTGTTTCTAAGAGGCCGTGCCCAACACCTACCATCCTCTCCTAGGAAGTAAAATATCACAAAGCGGCCATTCTCACCTGCAGATAGTGAACCAGAAGAGCCCGGAAATAGCCACTACCAGCAAACAACACATTGCGATGGGCCTTAAAGACACGGCCTTCAACGAGGATGGTGCAGTCACAGAAGAAGTCCCGCTTACGCTGCTCGTTGAGCTCTAACAGCAGTTTGGGCAGGTAGCATGGCACTTCCATGGCTATGCTTCAGTGACACCTGGCAGGGAGAGGGAACAGAGAGACAATATGGGGAACAGCAAACAAAAAAGGTTGATGTTGGACTTTTTGGTTCTGTAGTGCCAAACATTTGATTTAACAATTAACCACAGATGTTGTGCTTGACACCCGACTTGAAATGTATTGTTTAGGGGACAATATCTACTCTTTGATGGAGTATAGAACTGAATATTACAGTAGGCTACTATGTCAACATGGGTTAATAAAGGGAAAGGAGGAAACCAGTTCACCAATGAGTTAACTTGATGAGCTAATACGCATTAGGTCTGTGTACAGTTTGTATACCTGAGGTTAGGTAACGTTTAAAAACATTATCCTGAGAGAAAAATGCTTATATATACATAATAAATAAAAAAGTAACAGTCAAATAGCTCTACTTCCTGTTTCCTTCCTAGCTAACTTGTGTAGCTAGCGTCGAACGGTAGCCAGTTAGAGATACTTTATTACACAAAAACGTCAGAATAACACCACCGGCTGCGCTTCACGAAGCCTGTTGACACACACTGAGATAAAAGGACATATAAATATGGCCTCACCTTTGAAATTACGCGATTGAACGTGAGAAAACCGTTATCATAACAGAAGGATTAGCACGGCTCATTGTCCCGTGTCGACACATAACAACTTCCGCATTCAGCAATACGTCACGTTTATCATTCAGCCAATCGGTGGCTGAGGGGGCGTTGCCCATTCCCAGCTCCTGCATCTGGGTTTAATAATGATATTAATAATGATAAACGTTTTATTAATTGTGTAATGTATATAGTACCTTTCGTACAAGATAAGCAGCATGCTTTAAAAATAAGGTAAAGTAAACTGTTTATAGAATGAACATACAAACTGTGAAAACAAGACAGAAAAGAAAACACATAATAAAATAAGATAAATAGATAAGATGAGATAGAATGCATAAAATAAGATGGACGATAATATTGATAATAATAATAATAAGAAGAAGAAGAAGAGGAATATATAAATCAGTAACCATTTTTGCAGCATGGACATACAGCCTGCCACAACACTGCAGCAGCACCATGATGTCTCCATTCTCTACTTATCTTTACATCAATAGTGGTGATTTGACTTGTAAAGATGAAAACTCACTAAGTATTTCATTTGGAGCACACTCTCTACCACTCTCTGCCTATATCTCTATAAATAATAAACATACACAACAGACCTTCTTTTACCTGGTGGACACAGACTCACCACCAGTCTTGATTACCCAGAGTAAGTATTTTTTTAGCTACATCAGAACAGCCTCCTTATGGTGTAACCTCGCTGTGGGTCTTATCCAACCTCTTGGTGGTGCTGTGGGGGTTAACAAACACAGCACAGTCTTTTTTAAAATCTCAAATCTAATTGCCAACCACTGATGTCAACGTTTACCTTAACACACATGAGTTAATCTATAAGATCAAAACTACATTGAGTTAAACCACTTTAAAGCACACTTAATAGAATCGGCCTACACAGAAGGCCTCAAATCAAGTGTGAAGCTAAACTCAGGAAAGTCATAGCTAAAGGCTTAAGTGAAGGGATACGTTTTTAGCTTTTTCTTTTTTTGAATATAGCGTGCTGCCTGATATTGATAGAGAGTGTGTTCACTTCGAGGCGTAGTTGACAAAGTCTGCATCCCCGATTTTCAGTCAGCTGTTCTGGGAATCTCGAATAAACCAGCAGCAGATGATCACAGTGTTCTTAAAGGCAAATAGTTAACAAGGGAATTTGCAATGCAGCTTGGTCCTAGCCCATTTAGTTCTTTGTACTGTATATAAGGGTTTTCATATTTATAAAATCTCTTATTAATAGGGGGTAGAGATTGATTTGCAAACCCAGAAGACATTAATTCTACAATTCCACATACAAACGTTTTCAGATTAAATCAAATTTGGCCTGAATTAACATCTTCAACTTCTGTGAAGTTTCAGTAATGTCTGACATTCTCCACTGCAGAAAGTCATTGATATGACAAAGATGATGATGGTGATGATCCGAAGAAGAACCTCAAAGTGTCACCCTCTTTCTCATATCATACTAAGCATGCCGCTGCACAGCCGCAGGCGGCTCGCGCCTGCCCACATTGTCTGCTCAAGAATACTTGTTTATTTGCTTTCCATTTCGGAGAGAAAATTATTCCTTTTTTTTTTTATTTTCGGACATGGCAAGAGTAAACAAGTAGTTCCTTCCGCACTGCGCCACACCCTCTCAGCACAATCCACAGCTCTTAGAAGGTTTTTTTTTACACTGATGGGTGCCGACCGAGCAACTTATTTGTTTCAGATATTTTCCCATGGCAAACCGGGCGAACACAAAGGCTTCGTGGTGGCCCGAAGAAACCACAGGGTAGGCGTACATGAGCCTCCACGATCACCCTCTTTTGAAAATGAAATTTATGGCACCTCATAAAAGTTCTATTCACGTGTATAAGCACTAAATATAAACTAGTATAAACCAGCAGGGTTTAACTCAGTCCTCGTAAACTTGACCTCACGGAGCGTCGCGTCCGGCTGAAGGTAGGTTGACCCAGCTGCCCAGCCCTAACATGAGTCTATCCCAAAGCGAAGCTGAAATGGAACTTGAACTTTGAGGTAGCTCTGGCTGCTGACCTTCTTCTTGCTCAGACTCAGGGAAACACAAGGCCTTTGTTTTGGTCATTTGTTGACATATGGACAGGAAACTCCCTCTACAACACCGCCCTATCTGTGTGGCAGTTTAATGCTGGTTTACACCCCCAAGGAACAAGTAATATTCATGATTTATGATTGGGTTTTGGCTTATGCCTATGATTATGATGTTGCATGATTTACAGATTGTAGCTCTGTCTAAAAAGTAAATAGATGTAGTGATGGCTGTTATGCAAGGCTGCATCCAGATTTGGGACCTCACTCAGTCAGTGTGTCAGCCACTGTGAGACCCGCGGCTGGCACAGAGGGCTCCAGCAGCACCCCTCTGGGTCCCTGTGGTCTGCGCCTCAGCACAAAACAGCCACTTAGGCCGGCATTTTCCCAGGCTGAGACAACACACCACGGTGGCAGCGCGAGCCACAGAGAGGGCCTGATTAAAGAGTAGGGACAATGGAGGGAGAGAGACCGTGGTGGCATTTTCCATCTCCGCCGCTGTCTCCTGGGGGGGACCAAGTATGTGCCGTGAAACGTTTGAATTATCCCAGAATCTCTGGAATTCAGACAGAGGCACCGCGGAGAGGACCCTCGACCGGGGATCAAAGAGCTTTGAGAGGAGTGCGGTGGACTGGTGGTGAAGTTGAGTACATAGGGGAGTTTGTGGGTGTGTGTGTGTGTGTGTGTGTGTGTGTGTGTGTGTGTGTGTGTGTGTGTGTGTGTGTGTATATGTGTTTAGAAAAAGATAAAGACAACTTTTGAATTTGAATCACATTTACTTTCATGGCAACTCGTCTTAAGATGTAAAAAAAAAAAAAATGCCATGTTTGACTTCTGGGGAGGCATTGAGTAATGAAATACACACAGGGTGTGTGTGCGTGTGTGTGTTGCTGTCCTTTTATCCCTCATGGGATCAGATAATGCAATCATAGCCAATCATTGGGACTTTAATACAGCGGGCGCCCATCTTTAGTTTGGAGACGCCACTCTCCTCTGTGGTGGCAGAGGAAGAGGAAGAGAAAAGCGAGAAGGGGGGAAACCTCTTCCCTCTCTTTCTGTCTATCTCTCTCTCTCTCTCTGTAATTATCACTTAATGTACTTTGGTAATCTGGAGACGTCTGTCTCTCGCCCAGTCCTTTCTTCCCTCACTGGAGAGTAAATGTATCGCAGTCTGAAATAAATCTGCCAGCCTTTTTATTATTGTATATTTAGCACCAGAACAGAGTAGTAAATGGAGCCGTCCCGGACCACAAGCTTCCGGTTGCGCTGTTCCTCAGCTCTGGCTGTCTGTCTTTGCCACAGCCAAGTCCTGAGATCAAAGCTTCCTGTACTATATACAGTTAGCTAGTCATCCTCAAGCGTTGACCTCAAGTGAATTTTCATGTCTGAGAAAGATACTGTGTGTTTGTGCATGAGCCACATACAGAGGGTATAGAATTAATTCACTAGACAAGTATGCCTTTTGAGCAAGGCAGTTTTGTTTGAACATCTGTACTTTCCTGAATGTGTGTAAGAGCTCTCACGTCTGTCCACATCCATATATCTCTGCGCTGTAAGTCAAGCTTTGTCATCGCATTGTTTTGTGTTTGTTTGATGTCAAAAATGACAGCGGCGAAAGCCTGGGAAGTTGTCTCACGGCATTCAACAAGCACAACTAGCATCACATATGATCTGATATATATTTGTGATGTATTTGTGATTCCCACCCAAGGGGGGGGGGGGCTTCAGTTGCTGACGGTTACAAGAAAAACTCAACTAATTAAATTAACCAAACACAGCAACTGATTTAATTTAAAATATGTTTGTGTTGAGGGGGACAAAGACAGTCAAATAGGATTACAAATTGGTGTGACGCTAGTCTTTGGTAAACTTCAGATAACCAGTGAGCTGCCGATCAAAGTAATGGTTAAATGACAACCATACCTCTTCTGCCTTTACAAGTGGTAGTAGCACAAATGCAAACTTGACCACAGTAACCAAAACATTGACAGTTGAATTGCGTGGAAAAATGATTTAACAATAACCAATTTTTTGTAATAATAATCTATGAATCAGTTTAACTGATCCAATGTATTAGTTTCACTGAACGATCAGACTTAGTTTGGCAGTTGAAAAAAAGAAGAATGAATGCATCCATTATTTCAGTTCTAGTCATTTTAATTATAAAAGCATCTATCAAGACCAATAAAAGTGGAATCAGCTCCCTCAAGACATTCACAATTATGTTTGTCATTACCCTCATCCTTCCTCCTTCAAAGTCTTCCTCTCTTTCCCTGCACACTCACTGTAATCCCCTTTCTGGGAACACTAAAAATGGCCCAGCAGTGCGGTGGCGGCAAGTTTTTATGCTGGTTTTTAGGGGCTTATGCTGCTCTTCGAAACTGCCGTCGGGACGAGGTGTCGGCTGGATGCCTCCCTGATAAGGCCGTAATCTGAGGTGTAAAGTTATAGGAGGGATTTGGGAAAGTGAGAGGCTGTCAGAGAGCAGCAGCCTTAAACAGGAATGGAGCACCATCTCCTGGGTTTTATGGCTCTGTGAGAGCTCTTCTGAACCAACCTGGTATCCAATTAATCCAAATCCTTTCAAGCTAACCGGGAAAACATTTGTTTCCTGTTTTGAGTCCCTCCTTGTTATGTACTTTTGTACTTGTAATGCAAAGTTTCTACCGTGAATGCCATTTTCTTTGGCCACTGACAAAAATAGAAAGCTGATAGAGGAATGAAGCATAGCCTGACTCCATGCAATAAAAATGAGTCTCCTCCATAAACTTGAATAATAGTCAGCTTCCAAGTGAAAACGCTCAGGCAAAACTAGTTTAACAGTGGCTAATATTAGCTGAGTCTTAAAACCCCCAGTCATCAACTGAGGCGCAATCGCATGCATGGCCAAGGG